AGTTCCGTCCACCTGGACTGGCGTCCTTGGAGGGTCACCTTGAATTCCAGGACAACCGGAAGTGTGGTTTTGGGGTTAAGGCACTGGATTGAGACTCAGGTGATGAGAATTCAGTTCTTGGCTCTGCTAGTGACTCCCCTTTGTGTCCTCGGGTGGGGTATTGAATCACTCCGTGCCTCGGGTCCCTTTCTGGTAAAGGGGGAGAGCACTGGTGCCCAGACTCATGGTATTCAATGTTTTCATCCCAACATCACAAAACCCAAAATCATTAGGGCCTTCCAAAAAATTAGGCCGCTAACTATGTGGGGTGGTGTAAAATCAGAACGCAGAGGAAACAAACAGGTAGTCACACATGGCCAAAGGCAGAATGAAGGTGCCTAGGCCAGACTATGTTTGAAACTCCCAATCCTTAACTCCACCCCATTCTGAGCAATTTAACACTGAAAATCACTGTGGACAATCACTTCCTCCTGGGGCTGTCATGGGCCTCTCTTGATGACAGACAGAGCAAGGGGAGGAAAGAGGAGCTGCTCAAAAAACAGGATGACATTTTCACAAAACGTCCTCCCTTTTTATTGTCGTCAGCATTCAAAGTTTCAGTGAAAAATTCTGTCGCTGGTTCAAAATCTGCAAATATTTGACCAGCTTGAGAAGAGAGTTTAGTTATGAACCCCTTAGGTACGACGGTAACAAACTCTATAGGAGAATCTAGGTAGAGCCAGCTAGCTAGCTAGCTAGATAGAGGGGGTGTATGGGGATAGATAGATAGATAGATAGATAGATAGATAGATAGATAGATAGATAGATAGATAGAGGGGGTGTGTGGGGATAGATAGATAGATAGATAGATACATAGATAGAGGGGGTGTGTGGGGATAGATAGATAGATAGATAGATAGATAGATAGATAGATAGATAGATAGATAGATGGGGTGATGCGGATAGATAGATAGATAGATAGATAGATAGATAGATGAGGTGATGGGGATAGATAGATAGATAGATAGATAGATAGATAGATAGATAGATGAGGTGATGGGGATAGATAGATAGATGGGGTGATGGGGTGATGGGGATGGATAGATAGATAGATAGATAGATAGATAGATAGATAGATGAGGTGATGGGGATAGATAGATAGATAGATAGATAGATAGATAGATAGAGGGGGTGATGGGGATAGATAGATAGATAGATAGATAGATAGATAGATAGATAGATAGATAGATAGATGGGGTGATGGGGATAGATAGATAGATAGATAGATAGATAGATAGAGGGGGTGATGGGGATAGATCGATAGATCGATAGATCGATAGAGAAAATGGGACTTAGGCCAGGTCTACACTAAAAGGTTACGTTGACCCAGCTCTGTCACACAGGAGTGTGGAAAGTCCACTCCCCTATCTAACCCCCGGTGTAGACTGAGCTAAGTCGATGGAGAAATTCGTCCGCTGACCTAGCTACTGCCTCTTGGGGAGGTGGATTAACTACAGCGAGAGGAGAACCCCTCCCGTCGGCGAAGGTAATGTCTACGCTGAAGCGCTCCAGAGGCGCAGGGGCTGTGTGCTGGAGTGTTTCACATGTAGACAAGCCCCTAGGCCAGGGGTGGGCAAACTTTTTGGCCCGAGGGCCACATCGGGGTTGCGAAACCATATGGAGGGCCAGGTAGGGAAGTCTGTGCCTCCCCAAAAGGCCTGGCCCCCGCCCCCTATCCACCCCCTCCCACGTCCTGCCCCCTGACTGCCCCCCTCAGAACCCCCGACCCATCCAACCCCCCCTGCTCCTTGTCCCCCGACCGCCCCCTCCCGGGACCCCCTGCCCCTAATTACCCCCCAGGGACCCCACTCCGTAGCCAACCCCCCCCGCTCCCTGATTGCCCTGCCCCCTATCCACACTGCCGCCCATCCAACCCCCCGCCCCTGTTCCCCATCCCCTGACCACCCCGCAGAACCTCCGCCCCATCCAACCGCCCCCTGCTCCCTGTCCCCTGACTGCCCCCCAGGACCCCCCGCTCCCTTACCATGCCGGAGCCAGCCACGCCACCGCACTGCCCGGCAGGAGCAGTGGGCCAGAGTGCTGGCAGCATGGCGAGCTGAGTCTGCGGGTAGGGGGGACAGCAGGGGAGGAGCCAGGGGCTAGCCTCCCCGGCCGGGAGCTCAGGGGCCAGGCAGGACGGTCCCACGGGCCGGATGTGGCCCGCGGGCCGTAGTTTGCCCACCTCTGCCCTAGGCTCATTAGCCATTTAGGTGCTTTTGAACAAATGTCCCACTGTCCCCAAATGGAAACCCACCCCAGCAATTCCTTTCTCTCCCTCGGCCTGAGGCCCGGGTCCGGCAGCCCCTCGTGAAGGTGCTTTCGCACTGACGGTGCACGGACGCTCTTTAGCTGAGCACAAGCCACAATAAAAGCGGCGAAAGGAACTTTATCACCTGCTAAAGGCAAGCGAAGTGAGTCCGTCCGAGGTCACATTTGAGTCAGCTGTCAGGCCAGGCTGTTGGGAGGGGGAAGTCTTCTCCTGCAGCCAGACCAGAGAGGGGAATGACTCCGTTTCTCGTTGCCTCTTAAAGAGAGACTATATATAGGCCTCTGCAAAGGAGCATTGTCCTCCCAAAGCTATTTATTGCAAATGAGAGTCAATAGCATCCTTGTTTGCAGCCCTGCAGGGTCACCTATCCCCGAGTCTGCTGCGCACACGCCCCCCTCAGACATCACAGTCATGCCGAGGGCAAACGGGAGGACAAAATAGCCGATGAGGGGATGGTTAATCACAAGATCGGGGAGGCCTGGCACTAAGGGATTCGTAGAGAACAAATGGCAGAGCCCCA